CATTTCTCCCAATACATTCCTCTCTCTCTCTCCCCTTAATTTTATTTTTTTAGGTATCATCCCTTCATAGTCAAGTCATTCCTGTGTTCTCTGTCTATATATACTCCTTCTATCTGCCCTTAATAATAAGAAAGTTCTTATGAGTTACAAGTATCATCTTCCCAAGTAGGAATATAACCAGTTTAACTTTATTAAGTCCCTTATGATTCTTCCTTTCCTGTTTACCTGTTTAGGCTTCTCTTGAGTCTTGTATTTGAAAGTCAAATTTGCTATTCCCCTTTCGTCTTTTCACCAAGAATGCTTGGAAGTCCTCTATTTCACTGAATGTCCATTCCCTGCTCCCTGAAATACTCAGTTTTGCTGGTTAGATGATTCTTGGTGGTAATCCTAGCTCTTTTGCCCTCCAGAATATCATATTCCAAGCCCTCTGATCCTTTAATATAGAAACTGCTAAGTCTTGTGTTATCCTCACTATGGCTCCACAGTACTTGAATTGTTTCTTTCTGGCTGCTTGCAATATTTTCTCCTTAACCTGGAAGCTCTGGAATTTGGCTATAATATTCCTGGGAGTTTTCATTTTGGGATCTCTTTCAGGAGGTGATTGGTGGGTTCTTTCCATTTCTATTTTACTGTCTGGTTGTAGAATATCAGGGCAGTTTTCCTCAATAATTTCTTGAAAGATGATGTATACTCTGTTTTTTTTTTTTGATGATGCCTTTTAGATAGTACAATAATTTCTAAATTATCTCTTCTGGCTCTATTTTCCAGGTCAGTTGTTTTTCAAATGAGATATTTCACATTGTCTCCTATTTTTTCCATTCTTTTTGGTTTTGTTTTATTGCTTCTTGATTTCTCATACAATTGGTAGCTTCCATTTACTCAATTATAATTTTTAAGGAATTATTTTCTTCAGTGAGCTTTTGTGCCTCTTTTTCCATTTGGCCAATTCTACTTTTTAAAGGAGTTATTTTTTCTTTAGTGAATTCTTTTCCTCATTGGTTTTTTGTACCTTTTTTACCATTTGGCCTAGTCTGTTTTTTAAGGTGTTGCTTTCTTTAGTATTTTTTTGTGTCTCTTTTACCAAGTTATTGACTCATTTTCTTCATGATTTTTTTGCATCTTTCTCATTTCTCTTTCCAATTTTCCTCTACCTCTCTTACTTGGTTTCAAAATCCTTTTTGAGTTCTTCCATGACCTGAGACCAATTCATATTTTTCTTGGAGGTTTTGGATATAGGAGCTTTGACTTAATTAACTTCTTCTGAGTTTGTGTTTTGCTCTTCCTTCTCATCATATAGTAACTTTCTATGGCTGGTGTTTGCTCATTTCGCCAGTCTACTACTTGATTTTTAACTCTTTGTTAAAGTGGGGCTCTACTTCCAGGGTAGAGGGTGCACTGTCCCAAGCTTCATGGGTTTTGTGTAATTGTCTTCAGGACCTGTAAGTTTTCAGTTTTTCCAAGATGGTATGGTCTAAGGAGAGGTGTGTTTACTACTCTTCTGGCCTGTGCTCTGATCTGTGAGTAACCAGAAGCAGTCTTTTCTGCCCTGGAACTGTGAGGAGGGTACCCTTTCCACTGTGGCCACAAGCTCTGGTGTGCTAGTGATCCTCCTGGTCCTAGGACTGCCACCCAGGACTGTGACCCAGATCTGAGTATGGGCAAAGTAACAGAGTCCTCCATTAGTGATAGCAAAGAGACCCCTGGAATCTCCTTCTTACCAGTTGTTCGACCCGCTTACTGTTTGTGGGCTGAAAGCTCCCAAAGCAGTTGCTGCTGATGCTGATTCAGTGACTCCCAAGAGCTGCTCCTGGTTTGCTGTGGCCATGGCTGTGATGGCATGGTCTGTGCTGGAATGTATTCTGCTCTCATCCAGGTGGGACAGGCCTTTCCTGCTGACCTTATAAGTTGTCTTGGGCTGCAAAATTGTTTCATTTCACCATTTTATGGGTCCTGCTGCTCTAGAATTTGTTTAGAGTCATTATTTACAGGTATTTAGAAGAGTTTGGGAGAGAGTTCAGGTGAGTCCCTGTACTGCTCCACCATCTTGGCTCTGTCTCTCTATTCTATCATTTTTTATTTTTATTTTTTTAATTTTTTAGGCAGTTGGGGTTAAGTGACTTGCCCAGGGTCACACAGCTAGTAAGTGTCAAGTGTTTGGTCTGAGGCCAGATTTGAACTCAGGTCCTTCTGATTTCAGGATCAGTGCTCTATATCCACTGTGCAACCTAGCTGCCCCTAGTCTATCATTTAAAAAAAAAAACTGAGACAATTAACTCTTTTGCCTCATGTAGTTTCATTTACGATTTCTTGAAATATGGCTCTAGGAAACCAGGTTTGATAAAGCCCATTGGACTTCAAATGGAGCTGCTTGACTTGCCTGTAAACCCAAATCACCCTGGCTGTCACAGACTGACTGATAATAGGTCTCAGCCCAATCCTCACTTGGTCATTGTTTGGGCCCTCATGGCTTAGAGTGAGTGTAAATAGCAATTGCTTGTGTTCTGGCAGGACACTCCAAGGGTCTTCTCCTCTCTGATTAAACTAGGCCATCTTCCACCTCAATTCTTACCTAATCTTAATCACTGAATGCGTGTTACCTCAGACAATCTGAGACTTGAGAAGGACCTTAGCTTAAAAAAGCTAAGGTCTCCTACTGCATTCAGGGCCATCTCTAGTTGTCCTGAACTATGTCTTGTCACTGAACCCAAATGACTCTGGAGGAAAGAGTGAGGCTGGTGATTTTGCACGGCTCTGCCTCATTTAAATCCAATTCATTTGCAGGTCAAGACTTCACCTTCCTGATGTCCTTGGTCCTCTTCAAGAATGAAGGACTAACAATAAAAACACCTTATGATTACATTCTAAACTTTTTGTGGCTGCATCAATTGAGGTGGAAGAAATGTCCCTTTTCTATGACAACAACAATCACCTTAAAATGCTATGTAGATGCTGGTTGGATAGTATCATCATTATTTATTTCCTTACCTGTTTCTGCATTTATTAATTTATCTTAGAGCAGATTGAATAGGAGAAGCCATCCACTGAATTCAGCACTGGGCCCTGAAATCACTAGAGCCATCGGTCCAAAGGCATAGAAGGAGTTCTCCTTTGGCTGAGAGAGGGGAGGTGGATTCTGTCAGGATTCTAGGTAATGAGACTTCTTTCTCAGATCTTACCTGAGATTCCTGGAAAGAATAAAAGCCCCAGCGAGGTCTGTCACGTGCCTGTGGTTTGGTGGAAGCACAAACAATGCCCATGGCAGCACCCAAGTACTTGGTGCTGTCCTGCCAATACTTGCTTGTTAAAAACTGTGGAAGGACTTGACCACTGATCAGTTATAACTTGCATTTTGCATGTTTATTGTAAAATAATATGGTCACTAAGACTTTAGCTCCGTTATACAGTAGATGAAATATGTACAAACGGTTTTTCAAAATTTTCTTCTCTTCTTTTCTTTCGTTATTCTTCCATGGCTCCCTTATTTTTATTCAACACTCTCTAATTGTATCTGAGACTACTAACACCCACTCTAGATCATTACAGCATGCTCCCACCCACATGGGGCAGTATCACCCTCTTTGGGAACCTATGTCAGCTACACAAATGCTAGTTATTATAATAATGATTACTATCCTAAGGAATATTCATCAAGGAGTCTACCCTCAAGGAACTGATAATCCAGTCAGTGGTACAAAGTAAAGACAAACATTTCAATTACAGAAAGGGTGAAATGTGAAAACAATTGGAAGAAAGGCTGGGTTATATCTGGAGAAGCCAATGTAATTTGGAACTGGATTCTATTTTCCTCCCCTGGATTTTATTTTTGGAACCTACTCCATGAAAATAAAAGTTGTCAATTTCCTTTTCATTAGAGCCAGAAATGACATCCAAATTCATGAAGCATTCCCAATTTTTACTAAATTAATGTTTATGAACAAAACAAATGTGTTTTGAATCAAAAGGGAAAGCAAATAAGTGGGGAAAATGTTTGCAGTACATTTCATTAACACAATTCTTATTTTAAGGTATATGTGATTCACATTGATAGGAATAAGAACAATTCATACAGCTGACAAATGATAAGAGGATGTGAACAGGCATTTTTCAGAGGAAGAAATCCAAGCCATTAATAAATTTATGAAAATGCTGTAAATGACAGAATCAGAGGCATGCAAATTAAAACAACTCTTTCAGGTCCCACTTCACATCCAACAGATGGGCAAAGTTTTCAAAAAGGAAAATAATCAGTGGAGGGGCAGCAAGAAAATGCTCATATTAATCCACTGTTGGTGCAGCTGTGAATTTCTCCAGACAGTCTGGAAATCACTTTAAACGTTAAGTGCCCCAAAGTTCACTAAACTGGGACATGTCATCCTTTGGTGAAGCAGTACTACTATTAAGCTTTTAAACAGAGACTGAAGGAAAAGGAAAAGGACACATGGAAAAAATTTCAATAAGAGCTCTGCTTTGTGGTGTCTAAGAACTGGAAACTAAGACGCTTTCCACCTTCCGGGATTTCCTGAACAAATGATGCTTTATGAATATGATGGAATACTAGTGTGCTAGAAGATGTGATGAACGAGATGGTGTCAGGGAAATCTAGGACGACTTTGAGCTGTTGCAGTTGAGCAGAACTGGAACACTTTCTACAGTAACACTGTGAAGACAACTTGAATAGGCTTGGGCATCCTAATGAAAACAATGAGCAAAAATGATTCCAGAGAGATCGTGATGAAACATGTGGCTTCCCTCCAGACAGAAAGGCAATGGACTGAAGGAGTACACTGAGCTACATTTTTAAACATGTTCAATGTGTGTATGTGCTCTGCTTCACTATTAATATTTGTTATAGAGGATTTATTTTTATTTTTCAAAAGTGGGGGAGAGAGAAATATATTCATTAATGGAAAATATAACAATACATTTTGAAAAAATTTAAAAACATGTACGTGAATTCAAGAAGCAGTATTAATTGCTGACTCCTTTTCCTCCTCATTCAGGTGCACCTTGTTTACCAAATTGGATGCCTGTGCCTGGAAGAAGGACCAATCTTAGTGAGGATGACATGTCCAAAACTGAACCTATGACAGCTGGTGGCTCAGTTCACCAGTTCCCATTAGAAATGTACTGTATGGGGAAAACGTAAGGAAATTTCTATCTTCATAGTTAGATTGCGTGTCCATCCTGTATGATTAAGATGATGACATGCTACTCCTAAAGTTATTATGAATACTAACAGTAATAATAGTATCAAGTGATAATATACCAAGTGGTAATTTACAGTTTGCAAATTGCATTTCATATGTTAACTTATTCAAATAAAAATATTTTAAATCCTCATAATGACTCAGTAAAGTAATTGTTCTTATTACACTCTTTAAAAAAAGTCTCACCATCTTTTTACTGATGTAGTAACTGAAGCTGGGGCCAAACAGCTAGTGAGGATTTAAAGTCCCCTCTGAACTTAGGACTTTCGGACTTGAGGACCAGCACTGCACATATTGTTTCACCAACTGCTGATTCTACTGCAAAACCTACGGGGATGTCAATATTTGCTGTTCTGTTTACTTTTCAGAAATGTTTTTCCCACCTACAAGTAATCAGGAATTCTGCCAATTTTGGAGACATCTTCAAGGAATAATGCCCCATCGATGTTCCCTCATAAGACCTCACCTGAAGTATAGTGTAAGTTCTGCAAGTCACAGTTCAACAAGACTTTGGCAACTGGAGAGTGTTCAGAGGAGGCCAACAAGGATTGGGAAAGGCCTTGAATCAGTGACATTTGAGGATCATCTGAAGGAATTGGGCTTGATTAGTCTAGAGGAGAAGAGACTTGGGTGGAGTATGACAGATGCCCCCAAGTGTGGGAAGGCCTGGCTTGTAAGGGATGGATTAGACTTGTTCTATCTGGGCTTAGACGGCACAAGCAGGAGCACCTGATGGAGCTGCAGAGACAAATTTACACTTGGCATCAGGATAAAGTTCCTAACATTTGGGGTTATCCTTGAGTGGAATATGATGCCTGAAGAGGTGGTAGGTTCTTGCTTCTTGGAAGTCCTCCAGCAAAGGTTAGAGCCTGACTCGTTAGGTGTGTTAGAATGGGGATTCCTTTCCAGTAGAGGTTGGATTAGATGACTATTGAGATCTCTTCCCTGACTCTAAATCCTAAATATTTGTCACTATGAAATTACAGCAGTAAAGTCTAGTGGAAGGAGCATTGCTTTGAAAGTCAGAAGTCTAGCCTTCTGATATTCCTTCAGTTGCAGTCTGAGAGGTTTAGACCCCTCAAGGACTGGAGTACAGGCAGCATCATCTGGAATGAATTCACAGACTCAAGCATTCTTTAAGTCAAGGTGGCAAAGATTTGTTGTTATGCTTTCTAAAGGTCACAGGTCCTTAAGGAATTCTGCCATGGTGGGCAGAGCTCCTTAGGGAACTTGCAACCTAACAGGAATGATGCTAAAGTTTGTATAGGAAAAGTAGTGGATTATGTGCCAAGTATGCTAATTAGGTGATAACATACAACTACCTCATTCACTACTGGAAATGGGGAGGGGCTTTCTTAAGGGGTGCAGTTTTGGTTAGTTATGTTAGTAACAAGATAGTTTCAGGAGTTGACATCTATAGCTTGACCTCTGGATTGTATATGTAACTGTGGGCATCAGTACCTGATAATTCTGCTGGTACAAGATAGTCCTGTTCATGCAAGGGAAATTCTACAGAGGTCAGCTTGTTATTGTAACAGAGAGAGAGAGTTTGCCTCACTGGCCCCACACATGAGTTATTGCCAGAGATAGAGTCCTTAGGCTACAGGGAAACTATCTGGGATAGTGTTTCTAAGGCCAGAGAGAAATTGGGTCCAAGCATAGGCACCCAAGCATTCCATCACCTCTACTACCTTTAACCTGTATGATACTTTCTTTCTCTAGGTCTCACTTTCCTCATCTCCAAAAGGAAAGGGTTGTAGTCCTTGAATTCAAAGATCCTGTCCATCTTTCAACCTCTGACCCATTGACCTGTACTCAGAGAGGTGAAGGCTTTGAAAAAGCACAACTCAAAATGGGAGCAAATAAAAGGTTCAGTAGAAGTAGAGTACACCCAGCATTTGAAGGAGCCTGATTTGGGCTTAAAAGCTTTGGGAAACAACCACCAGGGAACAAGTAAGACACAGCAGTAAGGCCCAGGGCAGGATAGGACACCTTGCAACAAAGTCTCCTCTTCCTGCTGGGTCAAATGTTGGGCCCTTTCCCCAATCTTCCTGTCTCATGACTGCATGGGAAAGCATGGTCTCATTGGAAACCACACACATCCTGAAGTGAAAAGTCTTCATTTGTGGTTTCATTTCCCCCCAACAGATGTCTCAGTGAAATGAAAACCAGACCCTCTCATAAATGCTTTGGTAAATGCAAAAGGCATTTGTAAATGCTTCAGATTTTTGCCTCCATTGAGGTGTACCAAAAATAATACATATATTAAAGTAACATAAAATAATTTAATTTGTGTTGGGGGAAGGGTCAAATCAACTTCCTAAACACATAATGGAGTTCCACAATCAATCCCGGAAGTTCACACATTCTCCTCTTTCCCCAGAGTGAAAACCAGGGTCCTAAGGTGTGAATTCCACAGACCTACAACCAGGTCTCCATATAAATGGAAATCAAGCTTGGTTTCCTCTCAGATTCTTCTCTGTGTCTATATCAAGGGAAGAGATCTTTCCCTCTGCACAAGAATATCCCGGGAACATCATTGGAAGCTCTTCAGAAATAAAAATTTTCTGCTCCTATTTAGGTAAGTGTTTCACTTATTTACTGAGGACAGAGTAATTTGTTTTAGATAGACACAGATCCAGTAGGGAGGGAGCAATCATTGGTTATTTGGGGAGGCCAGGGAACACACCAGAGGTCATCCAAACTGCTCTTGCTGGAAATAAGAGTGGACCTGACTCACTAGCTTTCTCACTATGGAGATACCATTTCTCCTCTCAGTGTCACGTTTTTCACTCTTGTAAACTGGTGATAATACAGTGTTTTCTATTTCCTAAGTTTGTCTTGAGACTGAAGTGGGTTGATGTAGGTCAAGCATTTTGTAAGCACTAAAGATCCTGAAATGGTTCAATTCCTCCTCTTCTTGTACCTACCCTCAGCATCATTATTAACCTTGAGAATGCAAGAATAGATATCCTAGGTGAGAAAAAGTGTGAGTGTGTTGATCTGGTGTATTGACAGAGGGATTGAGTTGTGAAAGCAGAGATGATACATATACCACAAGGGGTCTCCTGGTTTCTGATTTCAGCTTAGGCTCTTTCAGCAGGGTCCAGATATCTTCTGGGTGGACAGCAGTGGTATGCCTGGGGTCTACAGATAGTATTCCAGTTTGCTTTTCTGTGATACAATCAGACAAAATTTAAGAGGGAGCATGTAGACCAAGCTAGTATTAGTTGCACTGCCTGAGGAGAAAAGGTGAGCATATACAGGCACAAGTAGAAGTATTTTCCTGGGATGAGAGATCGAGCATGTGTTCTTTAGACAGTGGAAGAAAGCAGGTACTAATCAGTGAAATTTCTGATGAGCTCAGCTTTCTGGAGAGAGGGAGATGATAGAGTTCTACAGGGATGACATTTTTTTTTTTTGGTAAAACAGTATATGGGGCCCAGGTGGTTTCACAAAACATTCCTCTAGGCCATTGAGAGGAGCAGACAAGTAGTTCAATCAAGGGAACATAATGCCAGAATGAGTGCCTGGTGTGGACCACGAGTCAGTGATGCCTGGGTCTGTGCAGTTGGATAGGAGATGTGACTTCATCCAAGAACCTTCTAAGGCTAAGGAGTGGGACTGAAAGGCAATCGAAAGGGATGTATTTCTGAGATCCACCATGTGAATGGAAGAAGATCAAGGGCAAGGAAAATGAGGGGGAAGAATGATGTCTAGGTGAATTGGCTTATAGTAGGGTCTAGATTGTGAAGAGAGGGCAGAACAGTAGCGACAGAGTGGTTGAGAGGGAGGATGAAAATAGGGTTAGGGAATGTGAGGGAGAAAAACACTGGGTTTAGCAGGAGTAATATGTAGGGAGAGATGGAAGGGTAAGGGATTATGACTGAAGAAATGAATGTCAGCATTCACATGGGGAGGATTATGAAATGATGTGATCATTTGTTCTGGGTGGCTGAGATGGAATGCAGGTACAAATCTTGGGAAATGGTGATGGTTATGAATTCATTGATGAATTTCACCATCTTTCCCCCCTAAAAGTTACAAATTCTCCTGACAGCTATTTGATTTTTTTCCAAAAATATTTCATTTAATTTGTTATTGTCTGTCCTTTGTATATTGAAGAGGATGATTACATCACGAAGTTGATATCATGACTTGCAAGTGAATTGGATTTAAGTGAGGGAGGGCTATGCAAAATCACCAGCCCCACTTTTTTCCTCCATGTACATCTGGGCCCAGGGGCAAGTTATAGATCAGGAAAACTGCAGATGGCCCCCCATTTAATTTAACAAAATAATGAAGGAGTTGGGGATGTATTCCAGTATAACATATGGTCTTTGGGATCACTCTTCCAGATCCCATTCACACTTCTGGATTTGGGCTCCAATGTGTGATGGCTCTTCACCTTCATAATTCTAGGATACCCTGAGGTGTGGTGGTGATTTTCTGGCATGTTAGCTTATAAGAGTCTGGAAATTGCAGTTTCTCTTTAGATTATTAATTAACCAAAAGGAACATTAGATTCTGAAACAGGCATTTACTCAGATGCTATAGCAAGAACATTTAGTCCAAACATTTAGTCCTTTCCCTACTGGGAGTCTATTCTCCCACAAATATGTATAACCCTTAGGTAAGATTATTATGGTTTACCAATAGTAATGGGAATCACTAACATTTAGATAGGGCTTTTTGCTTTGTAAAATGCTTTACAAATAATGACTTTCATCGTTCTAATGATGGTCCAGGGAAGCAATTGCAGTTTTTGCAATGTTTTTACCAATGAAGTAAATGAAGCTAATAGAGTTTAAATGATTTCAGGAGGGGTCAAACAGCTAGAAAGTTCCTCAAGTCAAATTTGAACCCAGGCCTTCCTGACTCTATCCACTGTTCAGCCCCACTGTCGATTCCAGTGTGAAAAACTACAGGAATGTCAATATTTTCTGCCCTGTTTTCCATTCCTAAATTTGTTTTCCTACTTTGAATTAACCAGGATTCTACCTATTCTGGGGACAATTTCAAGGAGTAGTGCCCCATTGCTGTTGCCTCATAAGAACTCACCTGGAATATTGTGTTAAGTTTGGCAAGCCAGGGTTTCAGGACTTTAGCAACTGGAGAGTGTTCAGAGCAGGCCAGCAAGGATTGGGAAAGGCCTTGAATCAGTTACACATTAGGATCATCTGAAAGAACTGGGCTTGATTGGTCTAGAGAAGAAGTGACTCAGGTGGAGCATGACGGTAGCCTCAAAGTATGGGAAGGGCTGCCTTGGACTAGGATGGATTAGACTTGTTCTATCTGGGCCTAGATGGCACAAGCAGGAGCACCTGTTGGAGCTGCAGAGATAAATTTACACTTGGCATCAGGATAAAGTTCCTAATGGTTGGAGTTGTCCCTGAGTAGAATGGAATGCCTTAAGAGGTGGCAGCTTCTCAATACCGGGAGTTCCTCCAGTAGAGGCTAGAACCTGACTTGTTAGGTGTGTTAGAATGGGAAAATCCCATGTTAAAATGGGAACACACATCCCAAAGTGACAAGTCTTCATTTGTTGTTTCATTTTCCCCCAACAGATCTCTCTATGAAAAGACAACCACACCCTCAAAATGAGTCAAGCAACTGAGAGAGAGGCCAGTGATGGGATGGCAAAGGAGAAGTTGGAGTATTCTAAAGAAGAGGAAGGACATCAGAAGAGGAGGCAAGTCAGCAAACCTCTGATGCAGACTCTCTGGGCACAGTTCAAAAGCAGTAGGCATCTTGGACGAAAGGATTGCTTTAGACTTTCATTTGAGTTTTCATTGGTCGACATACAGGCAAGTAATGTGCACTTTTTAGAAATAGATGTTCTGTTACATCTTTCATTCCATATTATATCTAAATAAAATCACAAGCTTGTACTTCAATTCACATTGTTTCTTTTTAATTTTGTGCAGATCACAAAATGGTTTAAACAAAAGAAGAAGCAATATCAAAAATGTTGTAAGGATACAACTAATTACTACAAATGCAAATGACTTTGGTAAGTTTTTTTAAACACATAGTTGTATTTCTTTAAGTCACCAAGTGTCAACAAGTGAGTATCAGACATAAAGATTTTAGCTTACAGACAGGAGTTTTATTTGGTGAACCGAACAGCCATATTAATGACTTGCTGTGGTAAGCAGTCACAAAGCCTGCCCATGCTCATTTTGCTACGACTCCTTCCAACTTCCCAGCAACCTACAATCAACACCAAACACATCCCTATTATTGAAAACCACTGCCAAGTTCTGACAGCCACTACAGCATGACTCTACCTACATAGTAAAAGGTTGTCGCTATCCTGTATATCATGTCATTTTGTTTCCTGCTTCCTTCTTCAAATCAGGCAGAGGTCTGAAGACCATCCATATCTTTATCATCTACATGAAGAGATTTTCCTGAAGATGCAGAAGAATTTTAATGATCAATATAGAACCTTGTTAGTGACCAATTATGGGATTCTGAGCATGTCCTCATTTTTAAAGCACTACCTTAATGATACAGTTCAATAATTTTTAATAAAAATTCATCATGACCCAGAATTTCTCATCTTCTGTCTTTTTTATCTGCGTATTTACTTCTTGGATCTACCTATTTCTTTACCAATTCCCAATTGTACTGAGTGAAAAATCTTCTCTTCATTTCTTTGCTATTCCAATGATTTACTTAAAATTTACTTAAGAATGATTGATTTGTTGGGGCAGCTAGGTGGCACAATGAACAGAGCTCCAGGCTTGGAGTCAGGAGGACCTGGGTTCAAATCAGGCCTCAGACACTCAACATTTACTAGTTATGTGGCTGGGCAAGTCACACAATTAACCCCATCTGCCTCACCAAAAAGAAAAAAAAAAGATTGATTAACATTCAAGATTTCTAGCAAGAATAGTGTAAAAAAAAAAACCCACTACACTGTGATCTATCCATCTGGTTGAATACCAGAATGAAACTAAGATGAAAAATGAGGAGAATAAAGTTGGAAAGACATGCAAAAGGGTATTTAGTGTAAAAAGCCAAATTAAGATTCATTGCTTGCTTATTCATATCAAACCAATCATAAGTTTCTGGCTCTTCAAATAGCCCCTTCCCAAGAGGTCTTACAGCCCAGATTGGGATTCATAACACATACACAAATAAATGGGATTCACCATAAATTGGGATAAGCCCTGAGTGCAACCTGATAAATGCCCTCTGGTTTTTGAAGCCTTCCACTGACTTTCAAAAAGCACCCCAATAGCCCTCAAGTGCCTTTCATAAAAAGTCCTTCTTAAGTGATTTTCCGCTGAAGTAAATTGAAATCTGTTAAAGCACTACCAGGTGGAAGAGTGATGAGGTTTCAACTGGGCCCTAAGGGCATAACTATAGGCATTAGGTAGGAAGCCTCTGGTAATGAACAGTTACAAATACTCTGAAACCTCCTCACCTTGAATTCTGATCCCTCAGTCTTCAATCCAGTTCACATTCTGGACCCTACCCTAAGCTAATTCCCATCTGTAGCCATTCATATTTGGATCCTGTCTGCCCCTCAGGTCTCTGGAGGGTTGCATGCATGCCACATGTATCTCCATAGCCATTTAATGTACTATGCTCATCATTGTCACTCTGGCTGGAAAAAGCAAATGTATAAGAAACACATGACCAGGTTTGTTAAGCACATACAGTAGCACCACATGAGGCCAGGATCTATGTGTAGTGGTGCTTATGCATAGGAGAAACGCATGGGGAGGACAAACTCTTGGAAAAACCACACATTTCTCCAAAGCTTAAGGACTGCCAATGGTAACTACTACTATGTATGCGAAGGCAAGAATTCAAAAGAGATCCTCGGGAAGCATACATTCCACTAAGAATCATTTGTTTTGCACATAAGAGGGGCAGGGGGAGAGGGGGACCATGTATATTGTGTTGGAAAGAAAACCAACCTGGGGGCAGAAGACCTATTTTCAGCACTGGCTCAGCTACTCAGTGTCAGTGACTGAGGATGTACCAGTCACCCATGATCTCTGCCTCAGTTTCTTATATGCAGAATAAAGACACCTTCCCTGATAAAACCAATAAGATCGGATTGTTGTAAGGGAAAGGCTTATAGACTTCAGCTTGCCATGTAAATGTGAGTTACTTATCATCAGCATTTGGGCTCTCTGAATGGAAGAAATGACCAGTCATTGGGTAAAGGGGCAGATGTGCACCTCACACTCGAGAGGCGACAGTTCTGGGGTTTTGCCTGCTACTGCCACTTGGAACTCCATTCAGTGCCACAAAAATGCCAGGCCAGTGCAGCAAGGAGAAGAAGGAGAACTGTGGCTAGGACAAAGACACTTGTCCTAGGAGCTCACAACTTGGCTCAGGAGTCCAGTTTCACTGAACAATTAGGACTGGTCCTGGAGGCAACAAATCAATACCTTGCTCTAGGAATTCACACCTTGTCCTTAGAGCTCCAAGAGAAAAAGATATTTGCTCACATTCCTTTTTTAAAAAAAAGTAACATTTTATTTCCCACCCCAGTTACACATAAAGAGAATTTTTAACATTCATTATACAAGATTTTTGAGTTTCAAATTTTCTCTCTTCCTCCCTCACCTCCCCCCTCCCTGAAACAGTAAGCAATTTGTTATCTGTTAAACATGTTCAATTACAATAAATCTATTAGTCATCTTGGCTTACTCAAGTTTCAATACCATAGAATGTATGATTTGGAAAGAGTCCCAGGGCCCACCTAGTTCAACCATACTTGGATAGGTATGCCTCCCAATGCTTCTTTCACAAGTAGTCTTCCAAGCGCAGACTGATCTTCAGTGAATGGGAACTCAATGCCTCCCAAAGAATTTCAGGAGCTCAGGCATCTTTCAAATTCTCCAAATAACAGAGGAGTTCTCCAATCTTTGAATTAGATATTCCTCTGTACAAAAGCCACTCATTGCTATTTTGTCTTTCCTCTGGGGTGAAGCACAACTATTCTACACAGAGCACCCCTCTTTCAAATGTTTGAAGACAATCAACAAGCCATATTCAATCTTCTGTCCTTCAAGAAGAAAGATCCTCAATTCTTCCAACTGGTCTGGAGACATAGTTCTATCTCAAGGCCTTTCACCATCCATATCACCCTACTCTAAAGGCTCATTTCCATGGTCTTCTCTCATTACAAGCCTCTGGAATGCCCCCTAATTGAGGAATTGCAACAAGATGTGTACGAGAACACTTATAAGCTCATGGTGATTGAAAGGAAGATCTATAAGGAACAATTAGGTTCATCAGTGAGGCAGATTAATAACAGAGAAACATTATATACTTAGAAAAATTACAAATCAATTATGATAAAAAGGGTTGGAGAGAGAAATATTCTTCCTCAGTGTAGAACAGAGTTGCACAATGAGGCCTGTAAGTTCACATGTTCCATTGTTCCCCTAAGTGATAAGTGAGAACCATGCTCCCAAAGTATAAATTCCACAGACAGGAGAGGAAATCCTGGAATAACTGGACCACAAGCATTCATCACATTCAGAATCACTGGAAGCATATTTGTGTCTATATGCAAGGAAGTGTCTTTTCTTTTCCCCCAAGAACATCCCAGAGATCACCTTGGGAAAATCTTGAGAAAAAGGTTCTCCTTATCTGGAAAGTGTTTTATTGATCCAACAGATTCTGGCATAGTTATGCAAAGAGATGCAGGACCAATTTATGGGAACCATCATTTATCATTTGGGAAGCCCACGGCAGCAACCCTAAAGTAGTAGCACCCTCTATTCCTGAGGAAAAATCCAAGATACTTTCTGTGTAAAGAGTACTGAAGGTAGACTCAAAAGATATGGGTTTTAATCATGGCCCTGCTTCTTACTAGATATGTGACTCTGGAGAAACTTCTTTTACTCACTTGGTCCATTTTCTTCTCTACAAAATTTATAAAATAAGACCTTTTCTCTCCACAGTCATAAAGATGTTATGAGGGGTGGAGGGGGAATAAAAAGGGAATAAGCCTTTACAAAGAGACAAGTATATGCCAGACTCTTCCAAGTGATTTACAAGTGTTGCATTTCATCCTCATAACAGTCCTACAAGGGAGGTACTATTAGGATTCACATTTTATAGTTGAGGAAACTGATGCCAACCCAAGTTAAGTGAGATTCTCATGGTCACACATCTAGTAAAAAAATGTCTGTGGCCAGATTGCTTTCAGTTCTTCCTGACTCCTGGCCCAATGTTCTATCTACTGGCCCTAAATGATATGTTAGGCAAATTATAATTCCTTAAGCAACTTAGAAAGGCCACTCATGCCTCCTCCTAAAAGTAAAAGGTGGCTCTTGCATAATGATCATTCTTACCATGAAGAGGACAAGGAGCAGATGTTCTAGCTGAGGTGGACCATGGGAAGGGAAGAAATCATTGTGTTCTGCTCTCTGATAGAGTGAGTGAGCTGGGGAAGCAGAGAGGTGACCAATGGATAGAAAAGAGGTTCCTTGTTTCTCATTTTATACACCTCAGCTGTCTGCTTTCACTGGGACCCAGATTTCTTCTAGAACAATGTCAGTGGCATATCTGAGGTCAACAGACAGGATGCACTTTCTCTATAGTTTACTGGAATGGTCCATGTTTAAAGTGGAGGACACAAAGTTATCTAGTTAGATCATTGAATCAAACAGATGGCCAGAGAAGGAGACAGACAGTGGAGGTGTTTTCCTGGGAGAGAAGATATTGATTCTCTCCCTCAGAGA